AGCAGGAAGCTTTATGACAGGAAGAAATTGTTGGGTGGCTGTTTCACCCTCCATAGCTAGGCCAAAATATAACTGGTGTATTTGTTAAGGAATATTTGTTCATCTCCCAAGAGATGAAAACTAGATGTGAGCCTGAAGTCTAAAAGTCTAAAAGTCTAATTATGAGTTGGGCTTCTTGTTGGTAGAAATCCTTATTTGTAGAGATCATTGAATGTGAAAGCTTAGTACTGGGTGTTTTACCATGGCACACAATCTTGACAACTAAAATTTGCCTCTTCTTGTACTAGGGTACTTTATAGCAGCTAATTTTATAAACAGATACAATCAATTCAATTTACCCAAACAAAATGGAAATGGAAAGGAGAAGTAGTAACTTAATCATACTATATACACTATGGTATATGATACAGAGAAGATAGAGGTTTTGTGGTTCAAAGTACTTGTTTCCTCAGAAAAAGAAATGTAATCATGTCACCTTAAAACTAGTCTAAAAGGTGCTTTTTGTGTTCTGATGCTCAATGGTACATTATTTTATTCTATCCATTCATAATGTGAATTACACTAGTAGCCTGAATGGAGATAATTATACTGTAACATGGCATAAGCATTTCCAAAAATTATCACATTGTAAAATAAAAAAGACATGGGGAAAACGTTAGGGCTTAACAATCAAAATCATCATCAATGATGTACAAACTACACAACAATTTCCAGAAACCAATACAAGGTGAGTTTTGGAATCAACTTTTAGAATTGTGAGTCTTCAAGTAACCCTTTAACCACCTTTTTTTTTTTTTTCTCCAATATTGGGACTTAAATTCAGGGCCTTTATGTTGTGTAGCTGGCACTCTTACCATTCTTATACCTCCTGTTCTTCGGTGGTTATTTTGGAGATGGAGTCTCACAGACTTTCCTGGCCGGGCTGACTTTGAATTGTGATCCTCAAATCTCAGCATCCTGAGTAGCTAGATTGCAGATGAGAACCACCAATACCTATTATAATTATTCAAACAATCTCCTTCCACTTAAATTGAATACACTAGTGAGAAAATACATGACATGGTTTCTGGAGAGTACATACACAAATACACACACACACACACACACACACACACACATACACACAGAGTAAAAACAGCAACAAAAAATTAGATGTTACATTCATGTACTATATTCTACCATTTGTCAATTCATAAACCAAAAATTTAAAAAAAAGGATGTGAGGGAGAATAGGTTGGCTATGGCCACAAAAATAGACTTCTAAGAGACAAGGAATTTAATTTCAAAGAGAATGATTTAGGGCTGGGAATGTAGCTTAGGGGTAGATTGTTTGCCTAGCATGCATGAAGCCCTGTGTTCGATTCCTCAGTACCACATAAAAAGAAAAGCCAGAAGTGGTGGTGTGGCTCAAGTGGTAGAGAAAAAGCAACTCAAGACAGTGCCCAGGACTTAAGTTTAAGCCCAGGACTGAAAAAAAAAAAAAATGATTTAACAAGTGGAGACATAAATAGTGCCACTGATGGGTAGCTCTAAGTAGTAAGACTGTGACACAACTGCTGGTACACTAATATTAAGCACAGGGCTAACAGTGGGAACGGACCCTGAAAGCCTAGGGTGGTGCAGCTAAATCTGTGTTTATGACAAAGCTATAATGGAGGATCAGTCATCCTTCAGAAATGCCTTGGCATTTAACTGGACATCTCAGCTATAAAGCTGTGCTGAATGGCATGAGGAAAAGCATTCAAACAGTGCTAAGTGAAAACTATTTACTAAAATGACCCAAGGGTATTATTTCATTATGTCACACAACATAATGAGACAGAGCTTAAAGAGTGTTAATTTGTAGTCACTTAGAATTCTAAGTCAATTCACATAGTTTGATGTTTAGTACTAAACAAACCATACTTATTTTAATTAGTGACTTACCTATCAACTGTTGTATTATGTTTGCTAATACTAAGAGCAGGCCTGTATTTCCTTCAGACTAATGCACTGGAAGAGTGGCCTGGGAACTCGAGAACCTGTTAACATTACACTTAATTTCATTTGACCTCACTAGAACTGTTTACCTGTAAACTAAGAGGTGAAAACCAGGTATCTGCAATCTTTTCCAGTTCTACAATGACTCCTCTGAGTTTTCAACACGTGTTTTTCAGTAACTTGCAATTACTGGGGGCTGGAGCCGATCTTGCTCTACAGTTCTCTCTGGCCTTCTTGTCCAAATAAATGGGTAACCAGCCCATCTTGTCAAAATAGAGGTAAAATTCCGCGGGTTAGAGATGGGAAATTCGATGTAGTAAGTTTCCAAGTGATACTAAATGCACCCTGGTCTGATGACTGCATTTTAGGTAGCAAGTTTCTAGGATTTGAGGACACTGAATAGTGACAAACTAGGATCGGCACTACTACAAAGACAAGAAGCACTCTACCATAAGGAAAATTTGCCACCAAGTTTCATGATGAAGTATGTCCAAGTATTCATTAGAGTATAAAAATATTGGTATTAAGTTGGTCATTGAAACAGAGTTTGATATTGTAGTCTAATTTTCTGATTGATATTAGTTTTTTTTTCATTTGTGTGACAGCTCTTCAAAACAAGTATAATTTCCTGGGCATGGTGGCTCACAACTGTAATCCCAGCTACTTGGGCAACAGAGACAGGGAGGACCTCAGTTCTAGGCTAGGCTACACAGAAAGTTTGAGATGCCAACTTAAATCAATAAAAAGCTGCACGTACTAGCGCAGCTCTGTACTAGTACGTGCAGCTGTCACCTCAGCCCAGAGAAGCTGGGATTAACAGGGAAAATGGTGGTGCAGGGTGGCCTGAGTAATACAGGCCACACCGCTACTGTGGCTGATCCACACTACAGCATTCCTGTACTTACCTACCTGACTGAGCCTCATGCCTACACGATTTATGGTCTTCAACTCCATAGACACCAAAGCGTAGAAATGTGTATTTCCCCTGGAAACTATACCAAACTCAACTCTCCGAACACACAAATTAAGTAACTATTCTGTCAAGCTCAAACCTTTTTTCCTGTTCTGCTCGTGGTACTGGGATCTGAACTCAGGGCCTCACCCTTGCCATGTTTGGTTCATTAAGTTTTCTTAGCTGCTTTCAAACAGGAAGGCACATGCCAACATTAAACTGTATGACTTCAGAAGTAGGTGCTTAGAAATGTACCTCCAAATCTTATTCCCTGTCAACATGAGTTTTGTGGATTGGGCGCAGATCAAGTAGCACAGTGCTTCTCTTCCAATAACAGTCACACAAAAACCTAATTATTTCTTCCTAAATATTTAAGGAACTGCTTCTATTAACAAGGCAGCTGAAACTTACGACTATTTCAGCATTAGCTAGTTCTCCTCAAGAGTAGTCTATAATATTCAAAACTGGAAGACCTTTACCAACATTTACCACACAACTTACTACAAACCAATGGGTAAGTTAGTGTACTGAACTTAAGAGTTGGGTATGGTGGTGCACCTCTGACACCCAGGAGGTGAAACAATCAAAATTTGAGGGCAGTCAAAAAACAAGCCAGGTCTGTACTCAGCTTTGTGGAAAGGGAAGGGAGGAGGATCAGAGTCTAAGGCCAACCTGAGAAAAAACGACAACTTACCTAATAAAGCAAAAAGAATGAGGGCTGTTGCTCAAGAGTGTAGCATGTAACCTAGTTAAGCAGGAAGCTCTGAGTGCAAACCCTAGTCCCAAGAAAAAAAGTAAAAGAATTCTAGAATGTCAAAATTCTCATTGTCTTGGTGCATCCTATTAAAAAAAAAATCTGCTACAACCTTAGCACTAAGGCTAAGAACTCTGGTTTCTGGTCATCTTGTCAAGGATAGTGGCAACTCTTTCTCTATCAGCAGCAACTGCAGAGGCTTTGTTTCTCCCTTGAAGCAACCCCACCCGCAAGGAACTATGGAAAAGCAGGGGAAGCCTAACTTCCAAGAGGGGTGACCACCATGGGAGATGGAGGAACACTCTGCTTACACGAGCTGTGTGTCCTTAGCCATGCATGGTATTGATTTTAAGAACATGTATTTGTAGTCAAAGGACTGCTTGCCCCAGTACTACAATGTTAAAAAGAAAAATATAATTGCCTCACTTCCAAATTACTCTGAAATTGTAAATTACCCTGCAAATGCAAATCAATTGTTTTACTATGTTCTTTTCTTGGAGGTTACTGAATTATTGTATTAAAATATTTTAAATACCTTATTTTCAGTCACTTGTCATACGAAATGGATAAAATTGTGCACAATTTTGAAGTATTTTGTAAGAAGCAGTGTCCAAAAGTATTCTGAATTATAAGCACCCTCATCACAGTTTTGAAGTAATAGTAACACCTTCACCTGTTCAATACACATTACTTTAAAAAAAAAAACACTCAATGTGTATTTTCCCACCCAGGTTTGTCAAAGCACATGATAGGATGTTTTCTTTCCAATAACATCAGATACTCTTTGATAAAACTCACAAAGTAGTTAAGATTAGTAAGAAATCTTTAGCAGACACAAAAGATGAGAGATGAAACTGCAGCGAGAGCATGGAAAATCCAAAAGATCTATTAGTGCAAAAATCTACTGAAAAACAACAACAACGAAAGAGATAGAGAGAATTAACAAGCTACAATAGAAGTTATGTCTTTAAAGCAGTAGATTATAAACAGGGTGGGAAATGTTTAATATGTGTCCTCCTGAAAAGCAGTTACCATCTTTTACGTTACAAAAAAGAACAGCTGGTGTATTTTCACAGCATCTAGATTTATTTGTGGTATAAAGCCATAGAATTGTACTATTATTACTCCTTTCCCACCCTGGCAGAGAATAAACATGAATTCAGAAGCACAGTGGAGTGAAAACAAAGAGAGAGAAAAGGCAGCAGAGAAAGACAGAAAAGGTGAGTGCAGAGCTACAGAAGTGTTTATTGAGCATGCTACAGAGGTAAGCAGAGTACACACAGATGAAATTAAACCACCATCAAACCTCCCAACTTTGTTAGAAAATTAATTTTTAATTGTGCCGCTTTCAAACTATACTGAATTTTACATTTCTAAAGATGTAAAAACTCAACTAATAGAAAATATACATGACCATTCTGTCTACATAGGTAACAGAATCTATGAATCTTGAAACTAAGTACATCAATTTCAAAAAGTATTGGTCATTTAACAGAATCAACAATTCAGATTGACAAGAACTGTTCAAATAAATTTGACCTGTAGATTCTGAGCCATGTTTTTATTAAAGTCAGATCTATTCCTAAATACAAAATATTTTGAAGATTTATTAAAACTGAATATTACAATGCAAGGTAAATTAAGACTAAAGGCACATAAACTTTGGTCCCACCTGGTTGTCAGTTTTAGAAAACTGCCACAAAATTAATCTTCCTGCAAATTTTCGCAGTACACTTTCTTTGTCTTCGAAAAATACATGCACCAGTTCCTGAACTAGCTAGACCAGTCTGCACATGCTCAGAAATCCACAACCATATTCCAAATCTTAATTACAAACTAAGGATGGCAATATATATTTAAATGCACATAAGTCATGTCAACTTCAAAAACATCTACGAAAAATATTCAGCCACAAACAAGACATTACTTAGTGCTGACAGTTATGTGATACGTCCCACAAGAGTGTGTACAAAAAGGTTAAGATTCCACAATGCTGTCCACGTAGGGTTCAAACTTACAGAAATCACTTCCTCTCAAGAAATTAATACTCTGCATCGTGTTAATTTTAACTAATGCCTACATTCAGAACTGAATCTAGACCAGAATTGTGAGATATAAAAGGCCAATGTTTTTCGTTTAAAAAGCAATAAAGCCTAAGGTAGTAAAAACTAAAAATGCCTCTTTATTCTTTCAATATCAAGTATCTTATTTGATTAAGTACAAAGAAATGTGATAAGCCAATAATCCAAAAGAAGTTCCAAGCAGGAGAAACAAAAACTTAACCTTTTTACACACCCCTGCCTAAACATATTTTAATTTCCATTTAACAATGTGCCCTAGACAACCAATTCCGTTTTCTCTAGTAAATGCACAACAGCAACACTAGTTTTCCTTTGTAAGGCACGTATGTCAACTAAGTTGAAAAAAAAAAAGCAAAATTAAACTGAAATTTTAAACAGACAATAAAAATGGCTTCCCTATACAACAGATGAAATAGAGCAGTTAATGACTCTGCCTTTACATAAGCCAATTCATTTTATAACCAAGGAATGATAACAGCATGAAAAAAAATCAAACTCTGGTCCCCACTTTTCTGAACAGTCAACAGGTGATGACACCAAACAATGTGATTCACCCCAGTCTTCCTCTTCCCTTCCTTCTTTATATTGTGGACTTGGAGAAAGATACTCTCAGATGGTGGTTTTCACCAAGGTTGTAATTATGAAGATCAATCAAGGCCTGAATAGCTTCTTCCACTGTTGCCATCTGAAGAAGAGCCATTTTGTGATCTCTTCTGAAACAAAATTATGAAATTAGATACTACATAAGAAAGAAGTCAAACACTTGAACTTTTCTCACTGCAGAACTAAAATTTTCTAAAATCAGAAATACTGCACATTACTTGAAGAACATTTTTATTTCTATTAAGCCACTAATTTAAAGACAAGGAAGCTTGCTTACTGAAAAAACTTAAATGCTTTCACAGTGCCCCCAGTGTTAGCAAACAGTGTTCGGAGATCCTCTTCTGCTACTGAAGGACTAAGAAAATTGGATAGGAAAAAAAAGAATAAAGATTAGCAATAAATTTTATATTAAAATACAACATACATTCATTTTTTTTTTTCTTTTTGGGTCCGGTCGTGGGGCCTGAACTCTGGGCCTGGGTGCTGTCCCTCAGCTCTTCAGCTCAAGGCTAGCACTCTACCACTTGAGCCACAGCGCCACTTCCGGCTTTTTTCTTATGTGGTGCTGAGGAATCGAACCCAGGGCCTCGAGCATGCAAGGCAAGTGCTCTACCATTGAGCCACCTTCCCAGCCCACAACATATATTCTTAATAAACTCAAAACTCAAATACTTACGGGATATTAGATAGGTGAAGGGTTGCAGAAGGAGGAAAAATATTTTGAAAATTTTTGGATCCGGGCTTCTTAAAACGATGCAATGGAGAATTACCAAAATCTTTTGTTAGCCCTTGGTCATCAAGGCCCTCTCGAGGTAGCTGTACGGTCTGATGTTTAGAGAGGGTAACACGAATGATTTTCCCATACATTTTCTGTCCATTAAGATGATTCATGGCTATAAAAACAAGTAATATCGCTAAGTTAGAATTTCTTAACAACTCTAAAGTAATCACAACTTTAATATGATATTCTGATTATGCCAGTGTCTAATGTACAGATGGCAAATATCTACTCCCATTTGAAATAAGCTATCATTTTTAGCTTGCTGGCTATGGCCTTTGCCATGCAGGAACTTGACAGTTTGATGCAGCCTCATTTATCTTATCAAGTCTTTCTTTGATATGCTGAGCTTCTGGATCTTTACTCAGAACATTCCTGCCATTGCCAAGGAACACTAGTGTTTCTCCTACTTCTTTCTGTAAGTTTCATGGTTTCAGGTCTTATATGGTATGGTCTCTGATCCATTTTTAACTGGTAAAGGTGATAAGATAGGGCTCTAGTTTCGGTTTTCTGCAATGGATAACCAGTTTTCTGAAGAGGTTGTCTTTTTTCCAGCCTGTTTTTGGCGTACCTATCCAGTAGTATTGGATAGCTGTATGTCTGTGGGTATATTTCTGGGTCTTCTAAGCTGTTTCATTATTCCTCAGACTGTTTGTGTGCAAGTACCAAGCTGTTTTGGTTACTAGAGGTCTGTAGTAGAATTTAAGGTTTGTTATTGTTAATAACCTCCCCCACACACTATGTTTTCTGCTCAAGATTGCTGTGAGAATTTGGGACCTTTTGTTGTTCCAGATTAATTTTTGGATTGTTTTCTCTATAGCTTCCCTTTGTTCATTTAGTGTACAGATAAATACAATTTACTAAAACTAAAGGCAATTCTAAACAAAGAAGGATATGATGTAATGGATGGATGTAAAGAGCATGCTAAGCAAAACAGATGAACATGAGAAAGACAAATATCATGTCTTCTCTCATATATATCATATGTATGTGGAAATCTAGTCTTTAAAACTGAAGGACAAGAATGTAAAACAGGTTCTCTTTGGGGAAGGGGACCACTGGGAGCCACAAGGCTAAGTGGAGAGGGTAAAGGGTGATGAACAGGACCAAATTACTTTATATAAATGTATGAAAATAGAACAATGAAAACCTGTGAAGATGTATTAAGGGGTGAATGACAGAGTAAGTGAACTTGATCAGGATGCATTACTTGCATGTATGAAAATACCACAGAGAAACTCCCTTGGACAGCTCTATTAGTTAGTAAAACAGTCATGAAGTTTGCCATAGCCACTGGTTATTAAGACATAAATCTCATTTTCATATCTACACGAAAAGGCATTAGGGCAAAAAGCCAACTTCTTTCACAGAAAAAAAATCCAGGGTATAAATATCTATCTTCTTGAACAATAGCTACCCATAAAAAGATTTAGTAGTCAGTCTGAACTCTTCTCACTGCCACTTTCAAACAATCAAGATAATTCAAGTCGATCTCATTTGCTTTCCTGTTAGATGGTTCTAACACATTCATTTCATACACATGGCAAAATGACCTTCATAAATACAAACCTGACCATGTCATTACCTCTTCAAAACACTTAGGGCAAAGTATCATTCATTATTTAACCTAGCATGTATCTTTCCCAGTCTGACTCTCAGCTGGGAATAAAGTTGTAAGACACTATTCTACACATGTCAGAACTTGGGGTACACCTCAACTGTTGTTCTCTTTGCCCTATATATGCTTTGGCTACACAAAACATACATCCTAACAGAAAGGGCTAGTTTTCCTTATGTGATGCTTTTCTATCTTTAACAAATTTCTGAACTACTCATTCTTTAAAGCTACTGCTCCAAAAAGTCCTTTCCTTTATCAAAAGCTCATACTTCAACAGATACAAGACAGGATACCAACAGAGTACTCGAGAGAATACATATTTTTAATTTCCTATTTATTGTCTATTACTTTCCCCCTGAAGACTGTAGGAAACTAGTGACAGGAATCAATCTCGAACCTAACACATAGCAGTGTGAACACTGCACATTAACATGGCTATTTATGAAGGTAGACAAGAACTATTTTTAAATGAAATGAATACAACATTATAGAAGTTGTAAGTTCTTTTTTATTCGTAAGTCATAGAAACTAACATTTCTAGTAAGTCTCACATGTTAGCTAAATTGAAGGTTTAATTGACTACAAATAAAACCAGATAAACTATCAACAGAAAAGGAGAAGACCAAAAAACTCAGAACCAGATCTTTACTCTCAAAATTTCTAATACAATTAGAAATGTGAGCTACATACACACGTTCTGACACAGAAGATAGCAAAACTCTTGATAGTCAGAAATCTGTTCTTACTTGTACAGAATAAACTAGCTCAATATAACCTATCTATAAAGAACAATCCTTTTAAAAGTATTAGCTACCATTTACTTATTTACTACTACTCTATAAAAACACTGTACTGTTACATACTTAACATTTTTTTTTAATTTTTCAATAGAAGCTTACAGAAAGAAAAACAACAACAAACATTCTTGGGAATAGGTCATCTCTCCCTCATATCTTGCATACACTTAAACCAACTCCAAGTTATCCAAACCAACTAAATTATAAAATACTTTCCATTCTATTTTTTTAGGCGAGAACAGAGAAATTGCATTACAAGTTATAAAAAATAAGGGTAGCCTTTTAAAATCTTTTAATGGATGAACTTATTCCTTTCTATTTGCTATGATAGTGGATACACTAGTCTTGATACTAATCACACAATAGATAATTCAGTAAGTAGGTAAAGTCTGTTATGAATAATAACTCAAGTAAGTGTACTTTTGAAATGGGAATTATTTGGTAACCAAATTAGGAATAGTTGGGGTACTTTTAAAAGTAGTATTTGAAAACATAAATTGGAAAAACTAGTAGACAATTATTTTATCACAAAGGAATTCATTATTTGGCATGTTAGTGGATTTCATTTATTTCCATTTTTGGAGATCAGGACACTGATTTTTTTGGAGATGGGGTTTTTAATATATAGCCCAGGATTGCCTCAGGTTCCCTAGGTAGGCTAAGGTTGGCCTCCAACTCAATTCCTCTACCTTAGCTCCCTCCCCAAGGGCTTTGATACAGGTATGCACCACTAAATCTGGCTTCAGTATACATTATTTAAGGATAAGGTTTCACAATTACATTATTTTTAAAATATAAATTTAAAATACTATATTGATTAAATAGGTTTGTGGTAAACAGTTGATTCAAGAAACACTTTAATGTCTGCAGATTTTAAAACTCCAGTCTAAAACAACAGTTTGATAGCTAATTCTTCCCCTTGGACTTCTTTACTTTGTAGGATTCACTATAATAATCAGTTTTGATCATTGGATTCATTTTGATAGTTTTATTACTCCAACTGAGTGTGTAAAGAATCTAAAATGTATATCTTCAACTTCTTGCTATCCATTAAAACTTACAATGATATTCACATGTAAATACTATAGGCTGCATATATTAATTCTTCTTGCATTTCTCTTATTCTGTTTCTTAAGAATAAAAACATTGGGGCTGGGAAGGTGGCTCAGTGGTAGAACGCTTGCCTTGCATGCCTGAGGCCCTGGGTTCGATTCCTCAGCACCACATAAGCAAAAAGAAAAATGCCGGAAGTGGCGCTGTGGCTCAAGTGGTAGAGTGCTAGCCTTGAGCTGAAGAGCTGAGGGACAGCACCCAGGCCCAGAGTTCAGGCCCCATGACCGGACCCAAAAAAAAAAGGAATAAAAACATTATCTGTGTGTAATTTAAAGCAATGAGTATTTCAAAACACAATACACAATTCCATGAAAGCTCTAGAGAGAGCACAGCCCTTCAGCTGTGTGGCGTGAGTTGTATGGACTTTTAAAGGCCTTGATGATGTATGAATACATATAGTCACTCACTTTAAGAAAGCAAAATCTATCTGTGCAGCAATAAGAAAAATTGTATCACTACAAAACAACTGTATCACTAGAGTCCAAAATTTACAAATCAGGCTAAAAGAACAGATGATTTACAAAGTATATAATCGACTGAAATTTGTCTCCTTCATCAAGTTGATATATTTAAGCCCTATTCTCCAACATGAGCTTATGTAAATACAGGACTTTTAAGTAACCGAGGTTAAATGACTTCCCAATGTGGGGCCCTGATCCCAAAAGACTGATATCCTTACAACAAGAACTGATCTCTCTCACTCACAGGGTTTGCATGTGAGGATGCAGGGAAAAGGAAGGCGGCAGTCTACAAACCAAGAAGAGAACCTTCACCAAAGGCTAGCACTCTGATCTGGGACTTTGAGAAAATGAATTTGCCGTTTAAACCACACAATATTTTGTTATGGCAGCCCAAGAAGAATAATCTAATGAAACATCACTTACAATACTTTTTACATAAACTAAAACAAAGGGCAAAATATCCAGAACAATTTATCTCTACCTTAGGTAATTCTCAATCAAAATGTTTGGTATTTATATGAAGGTAACGATATACACATTTTAAATGGTGGTGAGGAAAAAAAACTAAGCATTTTGAGAATGTTTTGTTGACTGTGCCCTGCCAAATGCTGTCAAAATGCAGCTAACAGTATATATATACAAATAACTGCCACTCTCAGCAAAGCACAGAAGTACACACAGTGAAGGACACATTAAACACCTATAATGAGGACTTTAATATATCTTTTACTGACTTAATACACATATTGCCATTTTTAAATTGGAAAGCCAGATGCAGTTTTGTACCTCACTATGAAATTTACTGTCAAGAAACAATCAATTCAAACTCATTACCAGTTTGAAATTCAAGCACTCCTAACTCCAAAGAGCAATAACTAGTATATCGTGCTCATCTGTTAATTTCACATGTCAAAATCAAAATCAGATTCCTCACATCAAAATGATAAATTTCAAAATTAACCATATGAATACAATTAGTCTGAGGCAACATCATTCAGCAATCTCCATGAATAAAATTGTAAGAACTTAATGATATTTACAAGGTAATCGTATTGTGAATAGTCAGTTGTACTCAAAATTTATATGACTTGATTTTGTGTACTAAGTCATATAAAACATAATTTTATTTAAAATCATTATCAAAGGAATATTACATGTAACTTGACTACAGTCTATTTTAAGCTCTCCAAAAGAGAATAACAACTGGTACGGGTTTATCAAGAACTTGCTATCTATCTGAAATACATTTCCATGTGATCTCCATTACTGAGTATGGTCAAACACCTAGTTTAGAGGAACTGAAACACCATAAACTGTATTTTAGCAGGCAGTTCCTAAAAAAGGGCATAGCTAGTAAATGAAAAGCAGCAAGAAGTTTCGATATTAAGATATAATTCTATGTGAACTGCAATTTTGGAGCTACCAGTAGGAAAAAAATACAAACAGATTCATCATGCGCAATTATTCACATGAAAATACAAAATTTAAAATATAGAAATTATTTTGTGCCCCGGAGATTAAAAAAGAAATTATTTCCTACTGACACAATGAAGTCACTATTTACACTAAAGTAGAACTGAAAACGAACACTGCTTAGACAACTTGCATTAATTCTTACCAAGCTGTGATTGGTTCCCATCAGCCATCTGTATGAGAGCACTGTCTTTCTTATTGTACAAAATCTTCACGCGCTGCACATCTCCATAAACACCTTTGTTGGAGTCACAGAGAGGTAATCCAAAAATGTAATTAATTTTATGGCAAGCCAGCTAAAATTATGTTTCTGACATATCAATGAAACATTCAGACATCAACATGATCACTCATTCAATCTCACCATTCTCACAAATGAATAAAGAAGATCAAGATTTTGAACAGTGAACTTTGAAAAGAATAATTTTTGATAAACCCTCAAAGCTATGTGAATGATATTAAATTAAAAACCATGCAAAATAAATCAGCATGCATTAAAACAAATTTTGTGTCTATGGAGAGTTTTAAATAGCAAAGGAAAATAGCAAAAGATTTACTATTCAACTTTAAGCCAAAGTGCTAGCTACAAATAAGAATTAAGGTGAAACCAAAATCAAATCAATAATAAAAGTATAGTGCTAACAATAACATACCGAAGAGGGTAAACAGACTTTGGGGCGTAACCATCTTTAGAAGGAGAGAAGAGCAAGCAGCGTAAGACAAGAAGAGAGAAGAGTCGAGGAAGAGCGGAGATGAACAGATCATCCATAACGAAGGGTGGTTCCCGCAGAATGGTGAGGTGGTCATGGATCATGGTTCAAGGCGGTTAATTGGGGCAAGTTGGTCCGAGGAACATTTGTTCAAGCACAGAAGCATGAACATAGGGAATGGAGACAGGGAATGAAGACAAGGACAAGGAAAATAAAGGATAAGACAGGGAAGGGAATGGGCATTTGGGAAAAGACAAGGAAAGGGGAGGTGAACACACAGGGAAAAGGATGAAATGGGGAAGGGAAACAGCAATGCAGAAGAAAAAAATAAGGAATTGGGGAACAAAAAAAAAATAAAATATAGGTCAGTACATAGGAAATGCAGGAATTTGGTCAGAAAATGGTTGGTTTATGTACTGTACAAGAAAAACTGAGTAAAATGTAGTCATCCAAGACAAATATGGGTAAAGTACATCTACATCAAAGAGTAAATTACAGCATTTCATCAACATAGGGAAGGAAAGCATGCATTGGAATTTTAAACTTTGAACTTTAACTGCTTAAGCATGGCTGGTTATGAAATGCAGGCAAAAGTCTTAAAAAATGAAAACAAAGGCACTCTGATTCAAACGGTTTAGCATGCAGAACTATGAGTGATAACAGTATTAAATGGTAAGTTTAATGCTCATTATTAACAGAGGCCAATCCAAAATGAAACAAGTATCCAAATTAGACATCATAAACTGATACATAAAGCTTCCCACATTTCATACCAGCTTTTATAGCAATCAAAATAAAATATACTGGACATAAAATATACAACTAAAGAAAATAACAGCAATTTTATTTAACAAGAACAGGGAAGGGGATAAAGTTGAAAAATATTTTTTAGAAGACAATGACTAATAACTGCAAAGAAAAAATTACTAAGAGAGACTGGAAGAGTGCCTCGCCAAGATCTTTGGAAGAACCTTCAAAGAAAAATGTATTAGAGTAGTTCACATAAAATAAGATTTAAATAAAATGCAATGACATATAAGCATGAAATGAACAAGCAAATAATTAGAAAAGGCAAAGAGCAAAATTATTTTACAGTTAAAATTTGCAAATATCATATTTGCCTTTAAAACAACAAAAAGATAAAAAGCCAAACTATGGTACTTCACCATATTTTTCTTAGGAAAAATAGGTCATCAGTTTTAAAATATTTACATAGAGATATGACTGTCTAAGGAAAAGATATTACCTATACAAGTACATAGATTTTATTCAGAAGTAGAAACACAAAATGCTTTGGCTAATGAATGTACATAAAAAGAAAAGGCAAGAGCAAAACAAAATAAACATGAAAAACTTTCACAAATGAAATGGAGTTCAAGAATAAAGATTAGAATATTATTTTACTAACCTCTTCATTTAAATTGCTAACCAACAGGACTGTATTGCCACCGGCTGAGACTCCAGGCATACCCACTCGGCCAGCCGCAGCTGCAGCAGCTGCTGCAGCAGCATTTGGAATAGCCAAAGGACTCAGAGCTCCTGGAACAGCTGCAACAGGAAGCCCTAATTTTAAAATAAAGCATATTTTACGAAACACACACAAGTCGTTTACAAAAACCAATTTAAGCACGATGGCTGTGTGGCTTGTGGGTGACCAAACGGTTCCTGAAAGTTGATTCTTAGTGTTCACTGCTGGTGTACAGTAGAGAGGAACTGATTTCAACACAGTCATTAATTACTTGAACTACAATACATACCTGTGTCATGTTAAAAAAAATATGCAACGCACTTCATACTTTCCTACTGAAAAGCAAACAAAGCATGAATAGGTTTCCAAGTCAGAGACTTGAAAAATTCACTTCCAAAAGTTTATAGTGAAGTTTAATATAAAAAAAATACCATCTTCACTCCATCCTTTTTCTACAGTGTTTTTTTTTTCTTGAGAAACTCACTCTTGAAATCAGTCATTGCTTATGAAATAGTCCTAAGGAATAGTTATTCCTTTCACTCCTAGAGACAAATCACCTAACACTGAATTCATGAAAATAATCCTAAGAAATCCCTAGTAAACTATGTTTGCCTCTTTTAATTCCACAGTCCAGTGGAAACACAGTAGCTTGTCAAATACTCATAGAAAAATGAACAAGAAATTGTTACACTAATTATTAAGACTTCCTTCTCAATTTGCTGGGAACTTTTTCTTTCTTCTACTGTCACTTTCCATATTCCTCTTGTTCTTTCCACACCACTGTACCATTTGAGAATTCCTTTTTGTCTTGGTGCACCTCTTTCTTACTTCAATTATCAATGAATTCAGATACTTTCATCTTTTAAATACTTATACCATTTACCAATAAGCATCAGTTCATAAAGGAAATTATGTTCTAAAGACTCTCCTACGATAAAGGCTCAAGTACCCAACTTATGATGCTAACCTAATGACCTACCTGGGTAGAAAAGGCTCCCAGAATTGTGCAAGTTCCCATTTAATCCCCTCTTCTTCCTTTCCAGCCTTCTTGTGTATTTCAGGAGCTGTTGTTACCTTTAGTTTCAGACATTTTACTCTTCAGTCAAGTTTTAGATTGTTTTATAGAAACTAGTATGACCTTCACTGGCAGTTTGTTCATGTTCCTAAATTTTTTTGCTTAAAAGTCTTGTCTCCAATCTCTTCTTAATTCAGTTTTCGTCCTTTGAGAATTCCATCAGTGGAGTAATGTTCGGAATGAGTATATTCTAAAGCTTTTTATCCAGAGAAAATCTTAGGGTGACCCTTTCCTTTTCCTCTTTTTTTTGACTTACTTTTCACTTTAGAAAATCTCCAACAGATATATAAGAAAGAAGCCCAATGAACTGTTGAGCATGGCAGTTTACCACCTAAGTTTTAAAAAAAAAAATCCCCTCATGGATAATTGTTTCATTTACCAACTCATTTCAATTTTAAAGTAAATTCCATAAAGAAATATCTTACTTAAAACAGAAATTTTCATGTATGGTGTATACTAATACACAAGTCTTCAGATTTAGATAAAACAATAAAAATAGGAGAACTTACAAAATACCTGATGTACTATTTTATTCTAAATCAATAAATTCTACAAAAGAATTTTACATTGTATTTTCTAAATTAATGTTACTGTAAAAGATATAGCATTGGACATGTTGAATATATACATTACTTCCAATTTAGCTAAGTACAAGAGTCCATTTTCTATTACTGTTAATAAAATACCTGAATTTGGGGTCTTAAAAGAAAACAGTTTGTTTAAGCTAAGTTTAGAGACTGAAATCTAAGGCAGGCAAATGCCCCATCTGTTTGGCTTCTGCATTACAAGATAGCAAATGGCATCAGGGTAGTACTGCATGTAAGAGTGAGAAGTCACATGGGGAGACAGAAAAACAGTGTGAGGGGTGAGGCCAGTCCCAATCTTACAACAATCTTCACAACAACCCTCAGTACAACAATTCCTTCAGTACACAACATCCACTCATGGGCCAAGTTTCAAACACATGAACCTTGTGAGGCAAAACACATCCAAACCATCACTGAAGCAATAGTTATGCTGAAAAACAGCATTTATGTATGAGGAGGAAAAATAGTAATAATAATTATGCCTGTTCGACTACTGGGATGGTGTAAAGGTTAAAGCAAAAAAGCTTTGTAAACTGCCATATACTGAAGGGAGGGAGAGGAGGGGAAGGTGCCACATGGTTTTTTGTTTTGTTTTGTTTTAAATAAGAAATGATCTTCAGCACCCGGGCACTGGTGGCTCATGCCTGAAATACCAGCTACTCAGGAGGCTGAGATCTGAGGATTGCAGTTCAAAGCCAGCCTGGGCAGGAAAGTCCCTGAGACTATCTCCAATAAACCATCCAGAAAACCCAAAGTGGTGCTGTGGCACAAGTGGTAGAGCACTTGCTTTAAGCTGAAGAGCTCAGGGACAGTGCCCAGGCCCAGAATTCAAGCCCCACGACAGAGAGAGAGAGAGAGAGAGAGACAGACAGACAGACAGACAGACAGACAGAAAAAGGAAAGGAAAGGGAAGGAAGAAGGAAAGGGAAGGGAAGGGAAGGAAAGGAAAGGAAAGGGAAGGGAAGGAAAAAGGGAAGGGAAGGAAAGGAAAGGGGAAAGGGGAAGGGGAAGGGGAAGGGGAAGGGGAAGGGGAAGGGGAAGGGGAAAGGGGAAGGGGGAAGGGGAAGGGGAAGGGGGAAGGGGAAAGGGGAAGGGGAAAGGGAAAGGGAAAGGGGAAGGGGAAGGGGAAGGGGAAGGGGAAGGGGAAGGGGAAAGGGGAAGGGGGAAGGGGAAGGGGAAGGGGAAGGGGAAGGGGAAGGGGAAGGGGAAGGGGAAAGGGAAAGGGGAAGGGGAAGGGGAAGAGGAAAGGGGAAGAGGAAAGGGGAAGGGGAAGGGGGAAGGGAAAGGGGAAGGGGAAGGGGAAGGGGGAAGGGGAAGGGGAAGGGGAAAGGGAAAGGGAAAGGGGAAGGGGAAGAGGAAAGGGGAAGGGGAAGGGGAAGGGGAAGGGGAAGGGGAAGGGAAAGGGAAAGGAAAAGAGAAAAGGGAAAGGGAAAGGGAAAGGGAAGGAGAAAAGAAAAAAAGAAAAGAAAAGAAATTATCTTTATCAGCTGGACCACTCAGATATTTTGGAAATATTTCACATTAGCTCTTTTACTCTATTTCTGACTCACCTTCTACTGAAAGTGATAATGGACACACCAGGTGTATGTGTATACTGACTCGACAGAGATCCAGTAATATAGGCACCCTAGTCTTGAACATTTCAAATATTGTTCATTTCAACCATTTATAAATTTTACTTGATTTTATATTTAAGGTGGGCATCTCAAACCATCATTCCCCAATATCACTGTCCCTTAGTTTAGCATAGTTGCTGCAAATAATCAACCAATACTGCTATATTAACTCCATTTACATGTCCTTAGCTTGCACGTTGTTCCAAGATTCCACATTCTGTTTACTCATCATGTTTCCTAAGAACACACTTAACCATAAAAAATTACTCTGGTTTTTAAAGCTGCCCCTTCCTTTGAATATTTTCTCTCTCCAATTTCCATTCATAAAGATGGCATGGGGGGGGGGGGGGGGAGAATGTCCTAATTTGAAAAAAAAAACACTTGAAAAGAATCGCAATTACTGATCTTTCTTGAAACAATCCCTTCTTGACCATTCATATTTAACATTCCCTTCAATTCCTCCATGGTTTGTTGGAATCCATTATCTATCTCTTCTTCATTAACAGCCACAATTCTTCTTAAACCTTATTTATGAATTTATTTTTTGAAGATCTGCTTATCAAGCCCAGCACCTCATGCATGCTATGCACAGTTATCACTGAACAACCATTCAACTGTCCTTGACAAACGTTTTTTAAAAGCTTGCTTTTAGATTTAAAGGGTGATAGATAGCACACTCCTATAATCCCAGATGCAAAGGAAGCAGAGACAGAATAAATGTCTGAGACAGTCCTGGCAAAGTTGGTGTGAGATTTACCTTAACAACAAACCAAGCCAGGTACTGGTTGCTCACACCTGTAATCCTAGCTACTCAAAAGAAGCTGAGATCTAAGGATGGTGGTTCAAAGCCAGCCTGGGCAGGAAAGTCTGTAAGACTTTAATCTCTAATTAACTATCAGATAACTGTGAAGTAGAGCTGTGGCTCAAAGTAGCCTTGAGTAAAAAAAAGAGCCCAGGGGCAGTGCCTAGGCCCTGAGCTCAGGCTCCACTACAAAGAAAAGAAAGATAAGAAAGGAAACTTAAGAAAGAAAGGAAAGAAAGGAAGGAAGGAAGGGAAGGGAAGGGGAGGGCAGGGGAGGCGAGGGGAGGAAGGGAGGAAGGAAAAGGGGGGAGACCTAGAGGTTTGAGGCTCAAGTGTTAATGCTTTTAAAGGTCCTCAAGTTCAGTTCCTAGTATTCCACTAAAGTAAAAACAAAAAAAACCTGAAATTTCTCTAACACCCTCCTCTTCCTCTTCTCCCCAGCGAGCAGAAAAGGTGAATTTTTGCTCACTATTTCACCATCCAACTTTATGTAAAGGCTGCTGTTTGACCAACATCAAGGACAACTTTCATGCTGATGCCATTTAATCACACTACAGCTCTTTGCTCACCAAAATAGTCACTGGAACATTACCTAAACTTCAAGCATCTGTCTTCATTTCTTCTTTTACTATTGTCACTGACCCAAACTGGCCACATATGTAAACACTTCTTCCATGGTTTTTAGACCAATTCATTTTAACAACTTCTCTTGATACATCCTCCCCCCACACTAGCCCTACTGCTATCTTACAGCAATTCATCTCTAACGTTTAACTCCTCTTTCCTGACAACTGCATTGGTCTTCCTACTCCCAACCAACCAGTGAACCACTTCTGGCTGTTATGGTGACCAGCTCTCATTCTACTCCCTCCCTCTGTTCATACACTCCTTGTCTGCCTTTACAGACTATAATTCTGGGCTTATGTAAATTTAGTATCATACTATATGGTGTCATCTGCGTATGACAAGTGTTAGAGTGAAAACACAGAAATACACATACCTCTCTAAAATTTTTACAAAGTATTTTCTTATCCTACTATCTATCATCTTGTATTCAGCAATTTACAGAATCTGTATCAGAAATCTCAATGTTTTTCAACTAACTTCAAAGTCCTCCCTTTTTAAAATCAGTAACACACTAAAAAGCATATGTATTTTCTCAATCTCAACATTTCCCATTATACTTTTGACCCCGCCAACTATAATCACCAAGTCTACTACTTAATCTAGCCCTAAAACCACACTTGTCAATAGGTGGCAAGCATTCATTATATGTGCTCCTTTGCATATATTATACATTTATTCTCACATTAGCCTAAGATGATGGGAATTATTACCATTATCTCCATTACAAAAGAGGAAAAGGAGACAGTAAGGGTGAGTCAGATTTTGGATGTTGGAAGATACAATTTAAAATACGTGGTTAGAAGCATTCTCTCACTATTAACATTTCCTCAGTCATCTCTGGCATGATAACCACACTATAACCTTGGAAGAAACTGTAATTTAAATATCTTTCATAATGCAAGACAACAGCTTATCTATAAAAGTTTGTCTTTCACTATGTTGAAAATGAACTTTACAACTTCAGGAGGCAGGGTAGGAGTTCAGAGGTAGGGAGGAAAGGGATGGTAGGGGAAAAACAAAGGAGAAGGTAACAAGACTCAATAGGAAATGTACTCATTACCTTACTCATGTAACTGTAACCCCTCTGGTACAGTATTTTTACAATAAAAAATATATACACAAAAAAGTTTGTCTTTGCAAAGACTAAGAATAGCTATTTGTAAATCACCTGTACAATAAAAAAACTAAAATTTAATTTTTAAAAAAAGAATAGCTATTATTTTATTCAAATTAAAATAGTACTAAGTTCTAAGACCTTAGTTTTCAAACTACATGATTACAAAAACTGCAATTTTCTAAAAAGTGACCCACTCCTTAATAAATTAGCTGTGCTTATTAACATGACCAAATATGATTATAACAATATAATTTATAATTTTTCGGCTAACTTTGTCATTGAAATAGAAAATGTGAATGTCTAATGGTTTGTCAGGTTCATGATTACCTACTTAGAGATCAGATTTTAAAATAATTACTAAGTGTTCTGCCTCTCTTTGAATAAATTAACGTTTTTCTCAGACACCTGTGATCACTAGGCATTTCAGAAAATACAGAACCCATGTATAAATTATTTTAAAAACTTACTGTTCAAGCTGGGTGCCAGAGGCTCATACCTATAATCCTAGGTACTCAGGAAGCTGAGATCTAAGGATCATGGTTCAAAGCTACCCAGGCAGGAAAGTTCATGAGATTCTCATCTCCAATTAACCAGTAAAAAATCCAGAAGTAAAGTATAACTTCAAGTGGTAGAGAATACAAAAACTCCAGGACAGTGCCCAGGCCCTGAGTTAAAGTCTCAAGATTGGCACAAATAAACAAATAAGTGTACACTGGTTCCATCTATAGAATAAACTGGCAATGAGGATTTTTTGTTTTAAGCCCACATAAACCCAAACTTTACTGTTCAACATAAAGTCTGTAATACTGACTCTAACAAGCAATGAATTTCAGTCAATGGGCTAAATATTTTTTAATGCACAGTTAACTACACGTCCCTCAATTTTTGGCAGTAGTAGAGTATCACTGTATTTATATTCTTACTAAATCTTTGAGGTTATTTCTTAGGTTCTAAAGAAAATGAACCAAGAAATGAATCCCAAAGGTCTATGAAAGCTATCTGATTAAATATCATTAAGGTCAAAGAGGCATAGAAGAGTTAGTTCTTATTCCCAAAAAGCATATATTACTAGTGCAATACTTGATGCCCCAATATTGGGGTGGGGGAAAGGAAAAGCTTATCCAGCCGGCAAGCTTTATGTATGTGTGTGTGTATATACATATATGTATGGTCTATAAGCAAGATCATTTGGCACAAGACTGCACAGACCTGTATGCTTCTTAGTTTGCTGAGCCCCATCTGTTTGCACGGATAATTTTATGGCCCTAGAATGATGTTAGTATACCCATTGGCCCTGGGTAGAAAAGTCTCCTCACCCCTGCAGAATAGCTGAAGACCATTTTAAAAAGAAAAGCTTTACGATGGACACCTGTAATCCCAAGGCTTAGAAGATTAAGCTGAAAGATGTACTGAGACCAGCCTTGCTACAAAACAAGACTCTATCCAACAAACACAAAAAGAAAGCATTAAATGTTTCCCCATAAAGATCCTAACATGCATCAAATTAATTTTTTAAAAATCATTGCCTTATAAGTGAAATGTGTCAAATGAGTGGTTCTCATAAATATAAAAATTAGAGCCTATTGTTCGATTTTTAAAAGTTATTTCACCTATTTTCAAAACTACTTAACGTTTTAAGATAAAAAATTTAAACAAACAAAAAAATAGACATTAGATGTGGAATGTGAAGTCATTTAGCAAAGTGAATTCACCATATTTTTACCAGAAAAGGTTTTCCTTTTTCTCAACAGGTAGAAATGCAGACAAAACACACAGACACAGACAACAAAGAGTTCAGTACGGAAGAGAATGAATGACAATAAACTAAGAACTGGAGCAAGGGTTGAGGATGTGACTTGAGTGGTTAAAGGTGTGAAGCTCTCAGTTCAAACCCCAGTTACAGTAAAACAACAACAACAACACAAAACCAGAAACAAAAACTCAATAATACCCTGGAAAAACTAAGAGTAACATGATAAAGCAAGCTAAAATGAGGAAAGCTCTGGGAGAAGAATCCAGGTTAAGTTTTTTTGTTTTTGTTTTTTTGGGGTCTGGTCGTAGGGCCTGAACTCTGGGCCTGGGCACTGTCCCTCAGTTCTTCAGCTCAAGGCTAATCCTCTACCCATTTGAGCCACAGCGCCACTTCCGGCTTTTTTTTCCTGCTTATGTGGTGCTGATGAATCGCACCTAGGGCCTCATGCATGCAAGGCAAGCACTCTACCACTGAGCCACCTTCCCAGCCCCCAGGTAAGTTTTAAGTATGTCTTCAATTAGGATCTAAACAAATACTACCAAATGAGCAAATACCCAAAATGTGTAAGATACAATTAACTAATTATTATTTTGTACAGTCCATGTTTGATGCTAAACACTAGAATTTCTTGGCATCTTATCCTTCAAAATGTTTCCTCAATAACTGCTTGAAATTCTGAACCTCAGAAACTGAAAAATCTTGCCATCATCAGTATTTTAAAAATCTGATAATGTACCCAACCAAGTGCTTTAGCAGAATATATAAGATCTCACAGCAGCTACAAAAATGTTGATTCTTTTTCTTCTATAAGACAAGTTCTGTCAGTAAAGAATTTTTTTCTCCCTAATACCACTTCACTTAACTATTTAAAAATGATGGACATAGACTCAACAATAAGAGCTAGTTTTTCTACCATTACAACTGGAATCCACATAGATACCCTACTTTAATCTTATAAACATCAGAAAACAAATTTAAAAAGAAAAACACATTAAGCACAAAGACACTGTTAAAATTCTACCTGAACCTATGAGTCAATTTCCTCATACTCCTTTCAAAGCCAAGAACTTTATTTTGTTTTACTCTTCATCATGACTCCATCAATTATCCTGTATCAGGCTTCTCACACTCCACTGTAGTACACAGTAAATAAGGCAAAAAGCAAAGGAATAGGAAAGCATTTTTGTAGAAAACTTTTCTGATTTAAGAGGGTACAATATACTTTGAAAAATAACACAATAACACATGCCCATTCTTACTATATATTTTACGTAAGATTTAAACATAGACACAACAGTGTAATATGAACTTAAAGCACAAAGTACTTCCTTACAAACTTAATAGTATTTTTTCATTAGATTTTTCTTCTGTTTTGGGAAAATGGTATGGGAAAAAAGGTGAGGTGGTAAAAGAAAAAAAAGATTCATTATACTTACTGGAATTATGGGCAATTTCCCATTTAGCACAACAGGAAATAGTAAAAGTCATACCTAAAAGGGATGTTTCCTTGGCAAACGCTGCAGCAATGGCTGGGTCCAGGGCAGGCTGTCCATCTCCAGATGGAAGGTCAGGTCGGGTATAATCCCTACTTTTATCATTGTTGTATTTTACATTCAAATTCACAAGTTTGGAAAAATCAATCCTTAGTGTACAGCAAGCATTATAAATGTTTTGACCATCTAGGGCCTGTAAAAGTGAATAAAGCATATCAACCATTTTAAATACAGAATAAGAATTAGCAAAAAGAGTAAACGATTCAAGGTTCACATGTATACAGGGTTGGTCCTCCTGGAGATGGAGTTGCCATCAAGGATTATCTTCTTTAAATAAAAACTGATCCAAAGTATAACCATGGCATCATCAATACTGACACTTTTATAACCTTAAAAAAAGCGCAAGTAGCTTTAAAAAATTAGTTAAGTCACACATGTGTAAGTTCTGCCAGAATAGGAATGTGCAAACTAGACACCAATGTATTTGACGTCATATTCTTCAAATTAGTGAGTTGCATGTGAATTTGGAAAGCTCTCTACTAATTAGGGCAATAAAATTAACTTTATTACACAGTAATACTTATTGCTGCATGGCAATGGATATATGAACTGATTTTGATAAGGTAAAGTACTGGTGGATGCCACACTGTAGGAGGTTGTCTCAAACCAAATAAATTTATCATTATAAGGTACAACAATTCCCCATAATCAGGCAAAAACTACTATCTTAAAACAAAATAGTCAAATTTAACTAGAATACGCTGATTAAATCGGCAAACCCAATGGTATTCAAAAAACTGCTAGAATTTTAGAAAGTGTCAGGTGTAGAGTTTGAAACCTAGAATCAATTAGGCCAGTCTTAGAGCCCATTGTAGAGCTCTAACTCTTCCTTCCTCAATCTGGAAAACAAGAATGATTAAAGGTTGCCATGCTTTCTCAGGGTGTGTTATAAGATCATATAAAGGATCACACAGAAACTCAGTTTTACCAAAGAGAAAATACCTTGTAAAAGGAGAATTCTAGGTTAATTCTAACAGTACTTTTAGAAATTACTAGATCTGAAATAAAGTCATTTAAAAGCTATTTCTAAGTAATACTGAGGTAGACTGCTAAACTAGTCACAGTAAGTTTTCCAATTGTTACAAAGTTCTCTAGAAGCAATTTACATTTTTATGTAGGTATGAAATATACTACTATACAAAATGTATACAATCTTGAGAAATAACCAATAAGATATAAACTGAAATTGTAAGCAAACAGAGGAAAGCAAAAAAAAGGGAGTTTAGAATGCATGGAAACAGGATCTAGGCATTTTTAATAGTGGGCTGAAGTAAGATGACCACAAATAAGGCAAGAACAAAAATCATATAAAAAGTTATGAAAGTTAACTTCAAGCCCTTGTATTTATAAAACCCAGGAAATAATAGCAAAAACTAGTCTTGGGGTACATCAATCAGAAATGTAGTCATCTTGCTGCAGCACAGATTTCTGAGAGGAAAAGCTCAAGATAATTCACAGGACCTTTCAAATGTACCTTACTGTAAAAATTTAGACAGTAACCAAAAAAGAAAACAAAAGTAGTAAGAAAGTTTTCATAGAAAATCTGAAATAAAAATTCAGTCAAGATGTTAACACAAAACACAACACAAATGAATAACTGCATGTAGATTAAAAATAAGTCATAATTTATCTTAATTTTTACCATTTACTTACATAATGTGTTTTTGCAGGCGCGTTATATTGAAAACATAAAATTAAGAATACTAATAAACTACTCCAGACCAGTTATTTACAACATAAAAGTTCACATAGGTAGATTATTCAGGAATTTCCTAAAACTGTTTTTACCACACTTTCATCCATATGCATATGGAATGCATTAGTTCTAAATGCTAAAAAAAACAGAATTAAGATGTCAAAGAAAATGTTTCCCCAAGAAAGTAGGAAGTATGTATGCAGGGTGAGTTTCCATGGTATAACCCCTCAACAATAACAGACACTTTTACAAAATGAAAGGCAGAAAGTTGAAACATGTCTTCTATGAGGGAGGTAGAGCTTCAGTGGAAGTTTAGACTAATGGAGAGAGAAATAACGAAGACATAATACGCAAGGTACATATGTGAAAATGGAACTAGAAAACATGAGGGGACAGGGTTGGGGTTCAGGTAGATAGGAAGGGGTGACATACTGATCAAAATGAAGGTGTGGCTCACATGATAGAGCACCAGCCAGTGAGCAAAAGCAAACATCAGATAAATGATTTTTGAGTGCCAGTCATGGGGGGAGGGGAAACAAGAAAAAGTTATTCATATAAATTGACATGTTGAATTAGAACCCCTCTGGTTCAACTTATTTGAAGATAATTAAAAATAAATTTAGTCAGTTGCCAGTGGCCTATGACTGTAATTCTAGCCAAGAGACTTGAGATCTAAGGATCTTTGTTTGAAGCCTGCCTGAGCAGGAAAGTCTGAGATTTTTTTTTTTTTCAATCTCCAATTAATCACCAAAAAGCTCAAAATGAAGATGTGACCCAAATGGTAGTACACTAGCTCTGAGCAAAAAAAAAAAAAAAAAGCTCCAGGAAGGCACCCAGATCCTGAGCTCTAGCCCCAGGACTGGCACAAAAAGATAAAATAAAATACAAAATAAAATTAGAGTAAGAAAGCAAAATTCCATTAGGTCTCTCAAAAATTTGCATAAAGCAATTGATATTCTGTAAGAAGAAAATGAAGAAAGTGATATGAACTTACTGATACAAATATTTTTACCTTATTTTTCTTTTTACTGTTGTAGAAAAATCCTGAAAGGAATTAATAATAAAAACAACTGACTGGTAGGCTAAAATACCATATGCAAAGATTTCTAAAAGCCAGTGTCATTATCCAAAGTCTTACAGAAAGCTAACATTTCTACTAACAAAAGCAAAAAAGACAAGCCCTATAACTGACAAAAAAAAAAAGAGGCAAAAAAGACTTGTTTCCTTTTCCCATGTGGAAAGGGGTTATAACACATATTTTGCTATTTATAAATCTGAAAAACTTCATCAATTTTTTTCCTCAAAAATTTAAAAGCCATATTAAAAAGCCAAAGGAAAGCATCTATCTTTTACCAATATATGACACAGCAAATAAACATCAAGAAAAATTTTCAAAAGTATTAAGATATTTTCTTTCATTAATGTGAGATCACTTGCTTTCTATAAGAAAGGCTAGTAACTGTGACTTCAGATTATCATACTAAATGTCAGTGTTCAGTAAATGTAGAACAAAGCAGACATGGTATCTGCAATATAAATACAAATTATAATATATAAAATAGTCTTAGAGAATAACATACCTTTAACAAACAATTATAAAGCTATAACATGGTTGAAACAGTAAGGAAGATTTCTCTAAGAAGAGATACTTGAAAAAGAAGTTAGAAATGAGACAAAAAACTTCAAGAGAGCCTAAAGAGGGAAATGAGACTAGAGAGGCAAGTAAGGAAGTGATTTAATCTTGTAAGCCATCTGAATAGCTAGACTTTCTCCTAACAACAAACAGCATGTCTTGAAGGGTGCACGGGGAACTGAAGTAATATGACTTTATTGAGATCATTCTTGGTACTCTGTGGAAAAAATGAGTGCGAAAAGATGTTCAACTTGTCAATAATATCAAATTATACAATCTGAGAACTAATGAACAGCAATAATACTAGTAAAATAGATTATCTGAAAGGCAGACCAAAACAGTATGTCTTCCAAACTGTGTTTCTTTTTAAGTCTTAGCATCCTTCTGTAACAAAGGTACAACACAAACCTGTTCTCTGTACACCATAGAGTAAGGGTCAGAAAAGATTCAAAGTACTCTGTAACTATTACACAATTATGCTATTACTACTACTACTGTACTCTTAAACTGCTTATTTTTATTCCCCAAATGAGTACTGAGGGTGGAAATTCAGTGATTTAACAATCAAAATAATCACAATCTGGAGAAAGCACTAGAGATCAATAGTCTAAAAGTAAAAGAATGAAATGAAGAAAAAGAGGTAATACAAAAGTAAATAATATATGTGCCTTAACCATTTCATCATAATGAGTTGATGATTTTTTTAATGGCTTCAAGGAAAAGTAAAAGTAAAACTAAGATACAAAAAGATTTAGACAGTTGAAAGCAAATGTGTGTATAATTTTCAATAATAGTAATGACAGGGGAACATTTTACCTCTTTTAATATAGTTAAACTATAGGCTACCTTACACTTGAACTACAATATTGATATATAGCAATAAAAACCTATCTCAAAAATAAAATTTTAGATTATAAATTTCAAAGTAAGTTTACTAGCTTATAAACTTAAACTAGTTAAAATCTTATAAGTACACTGTATAATACATGCACAAAGTTAGAACAAATTAACTGTAAGCCTGTTACAAATAATTCCAGATGTAATTATTCTTAAAAACAAGCATTTTTACCTCAATATCAAGGGTTTTTAAAGTTTTTTTTAAATTAACTTTATTTTTATGTGGTACCAAGGAATAGAACCAGGGCCCTATGCATGCACTCTACCACTAAGGCACAATATTTTAATGATACAAAATTCTGTATGTGTAAGTTGTACCAGTATTAATACCATGCGTCAATCAGAGTAACAGCCACCATCTCGGAGGAAGCTCTAAACTTACTAGTTTTGCTTGCTGGGCATTTACTGGATCACCATACTGAAGCAAAGCTTGAAACTGGTTATTTTTTGTGAATGTGATTATCTTCAGTACAGCACCAAACTTAGAAAATATCTGTTGAAACATTAAAATAAAATATCATCTGCTTATTATTTCTTCACTCTACACGTAACCATGCAAATTAAATTAAACTTACTTGGTGGAGAACATCAAGTGTTACAGGGTAGTACATATTGTCAATAATTATTCTAAGTACTGGACTCTGGGCTGGAGTCACTGCGCTCTCGCTAACTGTGGTGCCACTAAGAGGAGTATTTGCTGTCTGAACAGCTGTCACAGCTTGAAGAACGGCTTGAGCACGCTGAAAATAAAAGATAAGTAGTTTAAACGCACACCTATTATTTCCACTTACACTTTTACATTACACTACCTTGCTGCAATTCAAGTATTCTATCTGTATTTTTCTAAAGCAGGTATGCAAGCTAGGACCAAACCTGAGCAAGCAAAGATAAGACAATATAACTTACTCTTCAAAAAATAAGCTATAAGCTTGAACTGGTAGCTCATGCCTGTAATCCTAGCTACTCAGGAAGCTGAGGTCTGAGAATCATGGCTGGAAGCTAGCATGGGCGTGAGTCTGTGAAACTCATCTCCAATAAACTACTCAGAAAAAGCCAGAAGTGGGGCTCAAGTGATAGAGCGCTAGCCTCTATCAAGGACAGAGCCCAGGCCCCGAGTTCAAGCCCCAGGACTGGCAAAAATCAAAAATAAAGAAAACAAAAACCTACAGTTTTACAGAACTATTAATCATAAAAATGTTTGTAACAAACTTTTAGAGAATATAAAAAGGTTAATTTGCTCCACAATAGAGGGACATGGCAACAAGACTGTTAAGTTTATTAGAAATATCTAATATAACTGTTACAGATAAATACAATGATTAAAAATGTGTCTTTTTCAAAGAAAAAAAAAGAAAAAAGTGTCTTTTTTCATACTAATACTAACTTCTGAAACTTAAATTTTCAGGACAGAAATTACTATGTTCAGGAAAATTTCAATATAACAGGAAGAAAATTTCATGTTTTATTGTATCTAATGTCAGCTATAAAATACATTAGTGTTTCTTGTGAATATTAAGGTATTTCCAATTAAGATATGACATTAACCAGAGTGAAAAATAAAAGATGAAGAGAATCTCTAGGTAATTACACAACAGCTAAGTTAATCTTCTCTCTTCATACCACTCACATCTACTTACCCCCCCACCCCCGATCATTAAATTACTACCACCATAAACCCTTGCCTTAAAAGAATCAAATTTTCTTCTAATTTTTTTTCTTTTATTTTAAAAAGGGATATTCTATGGTGATCAAAATGTTCTTGAACTCCTGCTTTAGTCCCCAGAGTAATGAGGACAATGGGTAGTACCACAATATTCATTTTATATCATGATTTTTTGTTTTGTTATTAGGTACTGGTCCATGTGGATTTGTGCTCTACTGGTAATTTACATCCTCCAGTTCTAGTTTCTACACCATTTTTAGTTCCTTACAAAATCTCTAAATTAATTCCTCTAATGTTAATTTGGAACATTAAACTAATAAAGTACACCAAGTTTTTGTAAATGAATGTAATACTTTAGGGATACATGGGTAAAAATCTTAATATAACAAGAGGCTGATAAAAGCATCTTTTGAATAGTTAAGAATTTGATTTTCTGGTAATGCATTATAAGATTCTTAATATGTTCTAGGGCACTTTATTTCTGTACTCATTCATACATACTTGGTTTAATGTATTATCTGTCTTTAATTCTTTGTGATTAGAGTATTGGATATAAATTGGTTGGTTACGAAGATGAGGTGTCACAGCAGAATAGTAATTAACCATGGTAATAGCCGCTTCCTCTGTTGCCAGTTCCAAAAATGCCTGGAATATAAACACAGCAAAAAGTTAATAGTATTAATTAACTTCAAAGACCTGTGTGATCTATTCAGCTAATTAAAAAAAAGAATTATCTAGAATATAATCTTAAATTACATTAAAATGTTGTAGTAAGCCAGGCACTGGTGGCTCACGCCTGTAATCCTAGCTACTTAGAAGGCTGAGATCTAGAATCAGGGTTCAAAGCCAGTTCAGGCAGGAAAGTCTTGTAAGACTCATATCTCCAATCAACCACCAGAAAACCAGGAAATGGAGCTGTGGTGCTGTGGCCCAAAGTGGTAGATCATTGCCCTTAAGCAGAAGAGCTCAGGGATAGTGCCCAGGGCGAGTTCTAATAAGTGAAATTAGAAATCTCCTATTGAAGTTGAAGAATACAAATAAAGATAATCACAGAAGAAAACAGTAAGTACTACTGCATCATTCCACTTATGATTTTCCACACGTCACCAATCTTTCAAATAAATAAAAGCTACAAAAAATAAAAATTCTGTAGCATCAGAGCATTATTCTTCTTACCCAGAGAATATTAAGGTATCTAATTTTTTAAAGTCATAACATAGACAAAGAAATTAAGTTTCAGATTAATTATATTCAAGAAAATGTTAAATTTCATAAATTCCTCCAAATATTATCACCAAAAATTATATAACAAAAATTCAAACTTAATACTTCTGAGCTCTCATGCTTGTTATACCACTGGATACTCAAATTTAATGACTAATCTGCTAATTCCAGATAAATATTATCATGGGAAAAACCCTAAGAATAGATGTACTAGCACCCCTACTGATTTGCAGTATCTCGTAAAATAGAACCACATGTATTTTCTACCATCTAACAACTCTTCAAAATTAGTCTTAAAAATGAATTTACCAGATAAAACTTTAAAACTATGCAGATTTGTTTTGGTCACTATAGTTTTCTAAACACATCTGCCAGAAAAACTTAAAAGAATAACACTTCCTCACATTTTGCCATAAAAGTAACCCTTAATGAGGTAACAGTGACCTCATACATGCTATAGTTTAGGGTTTAGCATTGTATCAGCATACCTGGTTTTTTCCTTTCAGCATAAGGATGTTGGTTACCTTACCAAAAGGTAAGCCTAAAGCAATGACTTCGGTTTCTGTCACTTCACCAGGCAATTTTCGAATATGAAGTACACGAGAAGGAGCACCATCCATTTTATCTTCTCCTTTAAATTTCTTACTGTCATTACCATTGGCTGAAAGGTATTTAAATATAGTCTTTACGTATTAATACATTATTTTGTACAATACATTAATACATAAAGTATATTAATTTTCCTCATTTTTGTACAACTTATGAGACTTAAAATAACTTTAAAACACAGTAAAAGCAAGACATCAGTGGTTCAGGCTATATTATTCCTTGCTTTAGGAAGCTAAGATCTGAGCATTGTAGTTCAAAGCCAGCCTAGGCAGAAAAGTCCATGAGACTCTTAACTCCAATTAACCGGCAAAATGCCACAAGTTGAGCTATGGTAGAGGACTAGCCTCGAGAAAAAAAACTCAAGTCCTCAATTCAAGTCCCAAGACCAGTGCATGTGTGCACATGCACACACATATACCCACAAAATATCAAAGGTAAGTAAATTTGAGTTACTAAAAGTTCAAAATCTGGGTTTTCAAAAGAATAAAGCCATAAAATTAACTTAAGATTATTACATCAACATTTCTGAAAACACAGGCAAAAATCAAACATTAGCAAAAGGGCCAAAAATGAATTTATAAACTATCCAATGACTAAAGGAGCCCAACTGCATTGCAATGAAATCTTACTATGCAAACCGTAAAAGTCCTCTTTTAGCAAGCAGAATCCATCCCCAATTCTCCAGTGTACGTAAGGTATCAGGGATAGTGCCACATTCTCCATATACTATGCTTTCTCACATACACATACATACCTGTGGTAAAGTTTAATAAGCACAGTAAGGTATTAGAACGATGGTAATATAGAACAATTGTAACTATACTGAAATAAAACTGTATGCACTGAAGCCATTATTAAGTACAGTCAGGGCTATTTTGGAATGTGATCCCATGAGAGTCAATCTACTAACTAAGTCAGCAAGTATCTACCAGGTATAACTTCAACAGTATGGATACACTGGATAAAGGGGCTGATTTTTATCCCCAGAGAGATGAACTGGGACATCAAGAGATTTTATCACACCAGATAAAACTTAAAACTTACGAATTTTTGAGGCTGGATATGTAAGTACATGCCTCTAATCCCAGCTACTGGGAAGACAGGAATACCACAGCCTGAGGCAAGCATGAGCAAAGGGACTGAGGCACAGTTGAAGTGCTTTAGCACTTGCGTCCCAAGTGTGCTTCCTCCCCACTTTCCTCCCCAAAAAGCACAAGCCTCAAATCTATTTCAGGAATCTTTCATTTCATAGAAGGCAGCTATCAAGGCAACCGGAGCCACAGAAAACAAAATGGGCCACAAGTAGGGGCCACTGTATAAAGAAGTGTGAAAAACTGGGTTGGCAATAATTAGAAGCCATAATTTTACTGCGAAGTTATTTCTTTTAATTTGAAAGTGTCATATTCAATAGTAGTATGAAACAAGGCAATGCTATAAAAATGATTATGCAATCAATTCATAGTACAGCTTATCTGCAACAAAGAGTCTCTTGTTAATTGCTAAATTGTTAATCTTGCCATGTAACCTACCCAAATATTTTGTGGTTATTAATAACACAGTACAACAAAATCTCTCATGAACTTGTCAAACTTGTCTTATTATTTTACTCGAGTTTTACGTAAGCTAACATATTTCAATCAACAAACTTAGTTGCTTTCATTCCAAAGCTGCATCAAAAGTAAAAAATCAAAGAAACATGATATAGGTAATATACAAGCAGAGCTGTATGAAAATTAATTCTAATACGCTAGATCATTTGTTCAAATTCCCTATTGTATCCTATTATTTGGGAAGCAAGCTACAATTGTCTTGTATGACAAGCAGAATATAAATCTTAAAATCTATTTAAAATACAAAAGAATCACTAAAGCAATGTAGAGGAAAAAGAGAAATGCTGAAAATATCACAATATCGGACTTCAATTTTTATTACATTTGTAGGCTTTTAGGTACACTTCCTTTAGCCTTCATGTTTAGAGATCAGGTGAGATTTCAATATCCAACTTCTGAGTTACCAGAATATTTGTATGTTAAGAATCAATTCTGTATTACTTCATGTAAAATATGAAAGCTTGCCATATATAATACCTATAGGATTCTACTACTTAGCAGAACAAGAATCCATTTCATTTCAACCAATACAAACTGGGTTTGAGCAGGGTGCTTGGTGGCTTCACCTATAATCCTAGCTGTTCAGAAGGTTGAGATCTGAGGATTGTGGTTTAAGCCAGCCTGGACAGGCAAGTCCATGAGAATCTCATCTCCAATTAACTACCAAAAAAAAAAAAAAGCCTAAAGTGTAGTGATAGCCCAAGTGGTAGACCGCCAGCCTTCAGGGGAAAAACTCAGGGATAATACCCCTAGACCCTGAGTTCAAGCCCCACTAACCAGCATGGAAAGAAAAAAACAAAAACCTGGGCTTGGTGATACACATCTATTACCCCAGATATGCATGATCCTGGTTCAGTCTGGATATAATGTAGAAAGACCCTATTTCAAAAATAACCAAAGCAAAAAGGGCTGGAATGTGGTTCAAATGGCAGAATGCCTGCCGGCAAATACAAGGCCTTAACTAAGTTCAAACATTATACATAGAAATATATATTTATATAATGCACAGATGTAATGCATACATACAATACACATACATATGTGTATGTGTGTGTGTCTGAACTGTATAGTCTGGTGCTGGTGGCTAAGAACAGTAGGATCATGGTTCTAGACCAGCACAGCCAGGATTCCATCTCTAATATGCCAAGTGGGATGCAAAGGTGTGGACCTGTAATCCCAGCAATAGAAAGCTGGAAGGATGCCGAGGGAGGGTTAGGCACATGCATGGACAAGAAGCAAGACCCTATTTTTGAAATCAATAAATAAAACGGGAGGGATAGAGGTAGAAATCCAATTAAGCAAAAAGTTCCAATCCCAGTACCACGAAAAGTTTTTTAAACTTTACCATTATAAAATTCTATTTATCTTACCTATTGCCATGAACACATTCTAAACCCATAATACAAAGTTTTATATTTATATTTTATACATTAAACAAAATCGAACAAGACAGGGATTTTATCTGCTATTCAATTCAGTCTGAAAAGATAGCTTTTATTTCTAGTAGTGCAGTACTACTAGAAATAGATGCCTAATCTAAAGATCATCACTTATTTTAAAGGGTTTGCTATTTATAGTTTTAAATATTTTTTAAAACATGTGCCTGTGTTTTTTAAATGTATTCTATAGGGGGAGTTTATTAATCTTATTATTATATAGTGATAGTCTGCCTATATATTTTTTACAAGTTTTTGGTAATCAGTTTCAAATATTTTAAGCCATTAATCCAAATTCTGAAGAAAATGAATCCCCACACCAAATTCTGCCTTTGTCCTTGACCTAAATCTCTGAATGACTTCCTTTCTACCGGACAGCTATCCACAAGTCACAGGTGTTTGATTCCCTTTGAATCTTTATGTGTTTGTTTAGTTCACTGAGACCTCTAGGGACTCTGGGGATTGACTCTCCTGTGCTAAAAGCTGTGAGAAATCCCAAAGCAGAAAGGTAATGATCAGGAGACTTATTTCCCTCATGTTTGCCTTCACTCAGTATTATGATCATACTGAAGATCTATTATGATAATCAATTCTTGCTATCAGCTGTCTATTGTTTTATCCAATTATACATGATAATATATATTACACATGTATACATATTACAATATTTTATACAGTATACATATGTATGCATGACACACACATGTACATATATATGCACTTTACTTTTTCCATTGTCTCTATTCGTTCTCTAGCAACTACATATATAGTAGACTGCTTACCTGTCCCATACGTTGATTTGTTTTTCTGGCAGACTAACCATTCTTCTGTTGTCTCCATTTTACTGAACATGTTTTACTTTAAATATTGTGTTTGGGGATTAGAGTATTTCTATATGCTGTCTTTATAGTTCTTTATCTCTTAAAACCTCCCTCCATCTGTTCACTCATTATTTCAATCTTTTCCTTTATAGCTTGAAAATATTTACAGTCTCCTTTTCTAATTCCAACATATATGACAGTAAAAGTCTGCTTCTATTGAGTTTCTGTTCTCCAGTTTATAGGTTACACTTGCCCCATTATATGATGTGATTATGATGTGATTTTGACCTGGAACTATGGACCGATATAGAAGATCGAGGAAGATCATCTTCCTTAGTCTTCTTTAAGAGCTATTCTGTTTTGCCAACAGCAACAAAATATGTACTTTTTTATTTGAATTCTGAGATTTCTGTGTTCTAAACTGAGTGCAAGATGTTTTCAAAATGGACTTAACAGAACTCTGAAGTCTCAAGAGCACTGCTCAACCATATGAAACATCTTTTAGATCGATGTGTAATTTCTGACAGATCTTGCAAATACTCAACCTACATCCATGTAACCTACCCATCACACAAAATTCTGAAAGCAGCAAATCCCTAAACCAACTTCTGCCCTCCCCCAAAATCTCTGTATGATTTCCTATTCTCCAGGAAACTTCCCTACAAATCCTGGATGCTTGAGATGTTTGTTATAGTTTGAGGATTTTGCAGGGAGAGTGGTAAATGGCCAAGGCTGTTAGCAGTTACTCACCCAGAGGCCTGTATTTCAAAGTATTCAGATATTTTGAAAATATCTCAAGTATCAATCACTGTATTTTGTTTGAAAAACAAAACTGATAGAGAACAGTTACAGACATTTGAGTCTATCTGATCACTGGTTTATATACAAATACTTAAACAAAAAAAAGCACGGCCTGCAGTTTTGTAAACACTGTAAATACATCTTGTTATAATTTTTGATTAACTGAATTGTCAGGAATGTGCAAGTATGGATTAATGTGCCTACACCTTGACACAAGCAATGCTTACATTAAAGAAATCAATGTCTTCTAGCCTTATATGATCTTTTTACTGCTTAATACATTCCTCAAGCCAAGTAACTCACAACAGTATATAGGAAAAGAAAAAAACAAAACAAAACATGAGTTTCAGATCAATGTATATGGTTATATGGTTATAATTCACTCAGTAACAAAGATTCAGAATTTTTACTTTTCAACCCTAAGAGTAAAACCTAAAAACTTCATTTGTGTACCAATAGACATTAAAACAACAAGGTATTTGAAACATTTAAGAAAACTCTAGAAAGGGAACAGCTTACACTAAAGGAAAGAAATGTACATATCACTCAATGTGGAAGAAATGGCTGTATTGTCAAAGCCTATAGAATTCACAAACTTTATAGACCATGATAATGACAATTTGCCTTGTGAAAGTTAAAATGTATATGTGACTGTAAGTATCACTCTCCCACAATATTGTGAAATTTATATATTCACAATCTCAATAAAAATTATTTTAAAAAAGAAAAACTAACTCTAAATATCAATCATTTTAAATTTTTCAGTGAGTAACTAAGGAAATAATGAAAATAAAATGGAGCAAAGAAAAAGATAAAGAAAGAAAAGCAACTTTGTAGACTTTATTGTTTAAAATGTAGACTTTGAGGCTTTGGTATAAAGAAAAACTTAAAAGCAAATGACACACAAAAGCAAAAGGCAAAAGAAAAATATATGAGAGATATAAAATGAATATTTTTGTGATTTAAAAACTTGAAACAGAAAAATGAATAATTTTCCCACAGGAGACTTGGGAGTTTAAGGTCAACTGGGCAAAAGTGAGATCACATCTCATAAAGAAAAACAGTGTCTTTTTCAATGTGTTTGCAGCATGAAATGATAAATGTAAAGTCTAGGTTGATAAATGTGCCAAGTACCCTGACCTAAGCATTACATATTGCATAAATCTATCAAAATGTCATACTTTAACACCATAAATGCATATAATTTCTATACCAACTAAAATACAAACAAAGCTGGACACTGGTGGCTTACACCTGTAATCCTAGCTGTTCAAGAGGCTGAGAACTGAGTATTATAGTTCAAAGCCAGCCCGAGCAGTTAAGTCTATGAGACATCTGTCTCCAATAAACTACTCAGAATGGTGCCAGAATTGTGCTGTGGCTCCATTAACTGTAATGCTAATCTTCAGCAAAAGCAGCTCAGGAACTGTGCCCAGGTTCTGAGTTCTAGCCCTACAACCAGTACAAAAAAGAAAAAATTATTTAGGGGAGATTTATAGCTTAGTGGTAAACTGGATTGTCTAGCATATGTAAGACCTTGAGATCCATCCTCAGCACCACGCACACAAAATTCCTTAAGCAATCATACTACAAAAGCTATTTGTCTAATGGCCACCAATGTGAGGTGTTCTTTTTCCATCTAGAACATAATACACTTACTTTTACTCTAAAAGTTTTAACATATCTCTTAAAACATAAAAACTATTCTAGTATAATAGTCTGCTGCATAAAATGGCAAATGATAGCCTGTTAAGGAGTTACTTACCTGTAACTACCATGCCACTCATATTAGAGTTGGGACTACTGAGAACACTGCCTGAGAGTAGTTCGTCAGATCCTCTCTACAAAACAAAACAATCAGCATAGCTTTAAATTAAAAAAATATTAACATCAAGGTGTTACTTAACAATAACTTTTCTAGTATTCCTAAAAGAAACCTGCCCGAAATTTCACTACCGGTTAAAATTTTTAATTCCTAAAATTAAGAAATTAACTTCATTGCTCTCGTCCCTTTTTTGTTGTTTAAAATGCCCTTTTTTTCTTTTCATTTAAGTGCCAGCACAGTTAAGAAAAGTGACTAAGCCTCATAATCAAAAACTGTTTATTAAAGCTATTTACAAAAACACAGTATCTAGACCTTCTTATAAGTAGTCTGTTCCTTTCCAAAGAGCTCTTTATCCATTCAGATAAACTGGGTCTTTATAGAAAATTAGATAGCCGGGCACCCATGGCTCATGCCTGTAATCCTAGCTACTCAGGAGGCTGAGATCTGGGCAGGAAAAGTCCGTGAGACTCTTATCTCCAATAAACCACTCAGAAAACTGGAAGTGGTACTGTGGCTCACATAGTAGAGTGCTTGCCTTGAGCTGAAGAGCTGAGGGACAGCACCCAGGCCCAGAGTTCAAGCCCCACAACTGACCCCTCCCCCCCCCAAAAAGAAAAGTATACTGGAAAGTTGAATTTATCCATCAAAACTTGAAGGCATATATATGTATGTCAGTTACTAGAACATTGAAAGCCGAAGCCAAATCTACACAGAGTATTTCTGAAAAACCATAGATGGAATTATGTCTTAAAATCCTTAAGGAAAGGTTTTAAATTCTTGTTTAAAAACTGTACAGTTGTTCTAACTTACCAGTGATGGTTATATGTAATTTTGTTTTTATGCCAGTGCTAATGGGCTTGAATTTAGGGCCTGACACTTGTTTTTTTTACTCAAGATTGGTACTTAACTAAAATACAAACAAAGCTGGACACTGGTGGCTTACACCTGTAATCCTAGCTGCTCAAGAGCAGCTCTCTCAGGGCTGGCTTCAAACCACATATTCATATCTCAGCCTCCTGAGTTACATATTACAGGTGTGAGCCACAGGCACAAGGCATCAGTGATGTTTAAACTACTTTAAAAATGTTTTCAGTTATAAAAGTGTGTTCAGACTAATTTTGGACTAGCTAAAGCAACTGTTTGGCCTACTTTAATAATGTACTTACAAACATGGGTATTAATATTAAAAATAATACTAGCTCATGAAATGAACTTATAAGTTAAATGTAACTTAAAAATGAAAAGAATGTATAAAAATCACTTATCAAAAAATGAGAAAATATCCAAGAAAACTCCAATTAACTGCAAAACTTATGGCAATTCAAACTTCTAAGCTATATCATAACATATAAACATGTTAAAAGCATATTTTTAAGATTTAAATCTTTAAAAAGGTTTTTAACATCTTCTACTCCTTAGTTTCAGAAACTTAGTGAAATACAAAGTAGAAGAAAAAAAGGTTCACACTACAACCTACCATTTTTATACTGTCTAATTTCTAATCAAGGCTCAGAAGACCTGCCATGGCATAGTTAGGTTTAATAAAGACATTTGTATGTGGGACTAGATACTTAGATATTTTTTCAAGTATAGTTCCTCAGATCAATATTAGACCTGGACATTTGACAGTACAAAGTTTCTAGGTCAGTCTTATACCTACTAAAAAAAGAAAACCTGAGGCTAGGGCTCAGCAAGCCAATTTTGTCAAGACTTCTGGGTGCTTCTGATACTAAAACTTAAGAACCACTGATATACATTATAGGCTCACTAACAACAATAAAAAAATGCTCTTTGAATCTTCTATGTTTCCAATAAGATGGTAGAAAATGAGCTCTGAAGCTCAGCTTCCATCTATCACCAATGTTAACTGTATCTAACCATTCTAAACATTTAAGTTTTCTTTGTAAAACAGAGATAACACCTATGTGATTGTCCTTATCATTAATGTTGTATGGAGAATGATTACAGGTACTTGGTCCATACCAGTAGTGTGCACTATCCTACTCCCAAGTGTCAATCAGGTATAATATCCAAACATACTTATTAACTAACACTGTGGTGTTTCAAGGCCCATCTGGTAGACCTGGTTCCTAGCCTAAAGCACTATTGGTTGGTGGAAGGTAATTGGTGGAAAATATTAGGTCAACTAAGTATAGTCTCTTAATTTTGACTTACTCTAAGCAGGATGCTTAAAAGATCTCCTCCCTGAAATGAATCTTTACCCATAGCAAAGTCTTTTTAAAAAATTTTGTATATGTAGTCAATTTTTAAGGTGACTTCATATATCTGCCAATAGAGCAATTTTACATGAAATCCTAACCTAGTTGTTTAACTTAAAACGAATGATTCAATAATGATCGACAGCTATTCTACATTAGTGACTGTTGAAACCAAATCAAATTATTAGTACTTAAATGCAGGATGGAAAACTCCACTAAAAATATTTACTCTTTTAATAATTTAATTCATACAAGATAGTTACTGATTTATCTTAGTCACTAAAAAGAGAAACTAAACGTTAAGATTGGCTTAGATGTCTTGTTAAGTCTGAACTCAGAAACTTCTATGGTGTATTAATGTCCATAAAAAAGTCTCACATCCCACAGAAACAATTTGGGAAATATAGAAGATGACACAATGTACTATCAATCAGAGGAAGAATGAAGCTTTTTTTAAAAAAAAAAGTACATAGTAGGGGAAAAATAAAGGAGGGGTAACAATGCTCAATAGGAAATGTACCTTACTCATGTAACTGTAACCCCTCTATAGAATATTTTACAATAAAAATATTTTTTAGAAAAGGTGAGTACAAAAGTACATTAGTACCTACTGGCAATAATTTCAAATTAAAGTTAGTGCTTTTCTACTCATAGTGACTGATATTCTTCTGTTCAATCCCACAAACATTTATCACTCCTTGGCCACACACTCTTGAGCTGCCAGCAAGATAACTAAGAACTCGAGGCTGAGACTGACAAGAATCGTTGGATTCTGCTAGGTTTCCTACTAAGGTCTGGCCAAAACTTCCTCTTCTCAAGATGTCAGACTAAGAAATCATGGCAGAAAGACATAGTGGCAAAGACACCTATCAAGTTACTGAGGAAAAATAAATTCATAAAGCTGGAGGTAAAGAGGAATACTGAGTGCTACTTATTAAAAGCTAGGATAGCATCTCCCTTAAATAAATTTATAATCACAGCAAAGTGTTCTTTCAAACTTTGTATATGTAATTGCTATTAAATTATTTCATACCTGTTAATACAACAATTTTGCATGTAACTCATACAACTAATAAAAATATACTCCAAAGCTAATAAAAAAAAAAAAAAGGGAAAAGCTGGGCGGCCAGTGGCTTACACCTGTAATCCTAGCTACTGAAGTGGTTGAGATTTGAGGATTGCAGTTCAAAGCCAGCCTGGGCAGGAAAGTCCATGAGACTCTTTATCTCCAATAAAACCAGAAAACCAGAGGCAGTGCTATGGCTTAAGTGGTAGAGTGCTAGCCTTGAGTTGAAGAGCTCAGGGACAGCGCCTAGGGCCAGAGTTCAAGGCCCATGACCGACAAAAAACAAAAACAAAACAAAAAAATGGGGGGAGGGGAGAAGGGGAAGGAAGAAATCATCGTCATTGGACCTTACACCAAAGAACAAAAGCTTAGTGATTAGTAATACAAGATGAAAGACACTGGCCTGATATGACCATTTTCCTATTCCTACAGGACCCGTTTATGAGAAAATAAACTTCTGTTCTATCAATAACATTGAAAACCTAACATCTATTAAGGTTTATTGTGTGTGTGTGTGTGTGTGTGTGTGTGTGTGTGTAGTTTCATCTCCATTTCCTAGGAAACTCCTAAAATCCTTGAAATCTCAAAGATGATACTATTTTAGTATGTAGTCAAAGAGCTCATCTGTGTCCACTGTGGCTTGATAGGAAAAAGTTTGCTTTTCTAACTGTTTTCAAAGCAACAGTCAATCAAAAAGAATCCAAAACAGGAAAACTTCAAATGTGTAAGGAATAAGATGTAAATGGAACATATACTACTAAAAGTCCATACTGCAAAATACATCTCATCAAAAGACAGCATTAAGAGGTGGGGCTCAATGGTAGAGCACTTGCCTCGCATGCATGAGGCCCTGAGGCCCTGGGTTTGATTCCTCAGCACCACATAAGCAGAAAAAGCCTGAAGTGACGCTATGGCTCAAGTGCTAGAGCACTAGCCTTGAGCTGAAGAGCTGAGGGACAGTACCCAAGCCCAGAGTTCAGGTCCCATGACCAACCAAAAAAAAAAAAAAAAAAACAAACTCCACAACATTAAGCAGTGAGAAGGCTATCTACAACTGGAAAGAAAATATTGCCAGCAAAAATAGCCAACAGAAAATCAGTAAACATAATATATACTTCAATAAAACTACAAAATCAGTTAAAAAATACAAAATTTTACCAAGCAAGATACACGCAAGCATTTCATATGATTTTGCAAAAAAGAAACATAAATGAAGATAAAATGGTCTATCTCACTGGTATCAGGAAAATGCAAAGACTAGAGAAATTGTAATACTAGATTTAACAAAAAGTAACAAATTAAATACTTACAGTTCTTGCAACAATCTACAACACCCATGCACTAATTAGTGAGACATAAATTAGACTGATATTCTAGGAAATCAATCTACTATCCTGTGACATTCTGTACTCTTAACCATCCCCAGCAATAAAAATATCCTTAGATATACACACTCAAAAATTCTGCCACACATACACCAGTAACAACACAGAAAGATCACGGTAGCTTTAAAGTTAAAAAATTTTATAACCCAAATAACCACCAACCAAAAGAAAGGTCCAGAAGAGTACTTTCATAAGCAGTTCACATAACAGAGGGAATAAGGATAACTTAAGGAACTTAAGACACTGCATATATAAATATGGCTTTTGGATAGGTGCCTATGGCTCAGGAGGCTGAAAAGCAGGGACAGTGGCTTGAAGCCAACTCAGGCAGAATAGTCCAAGAGAC